TGCTACCAGAGCTCCCAGCTTAGGAAGAAAAAAAAAGATCCCAGGAAAAAATATGAATCTATACAAAGGAATTTTCTTCTTAAGGTGACCTTTGAAATTTTTTGTTTAGTTCTTTCACTTCATCATTTCTTCCATTCATTTTGGCTAGTTTACATTCAAAGAGCAAATGGCAGAGTATATTCTGACATCTATTTCGGTCTTTTCTTTCTTTCCTGTTTTTTTAATGATCTGATTTCTTGATATGTGATGTCATTTCACAACTGGTCTGGTGCTCAGTCTCTGGTGTTCCATATATCAAATCTATTTTTGAGATGGTATCTAAGTGCAGGTGAGATACACTCATGCTTGTTTTTTGGCTCTCATGGACTTGTTTTAATTTTTTGCAGCTTCATCTTGAAGTTGCATATGAGCAATTAACCATCTGTTCCACAGCTGGCCCCTGATCTTGTTCAGATGATGAAAAGCTTAAGCTCTTCCATTGTTGTTTTCCACAGATGTAGTCAATTTGATTCCTGACTTTTTCATCTGGTAAGATTCAAGTGTATAGTCACTGTTTATGTTGTTGAAAAAAGGTATTTGCAATGAATACTGGTATTGCAAAATTCTCTCAAGTGATCTCCAGCATCGTTTCTATCATCAAGGCCATATTTTCCAACTACCAGTGATTCTTGTTTCCAATTTTTGCATTCAAATCACCAGTAAATATCAGCACATCTTGACTATGTGTTTGATCAATTTCAGGCTGCTGAATTTGGTAAAAATCTTCAATTTCTGCATCTTTGGCATTAGTGGCTGGTGCGTAAATTTGAATAGTTGCATTAAGTGGTCTTCCTTTTAAGCAGATGGATATTATCCTATCATTGCACTTCAAGACAGATCTTGAAATGTTCTTTTTGATGATGAATGTGATGTCACTCCTCTTTGTCATTCCATGTTAGTAGTAAGCTATATGATTAATTGACTATCAGTCCATTTCAGCTCACTAATGCCCAGGATCCTGATCTTTATGCATTCCATCTCATTTTTTTTTTAACCATTTCCAGTTTTCCTAGATTCATACTTTGTACATTCCATGTTTCGAATATTCATGGATGTCTACAGCTGTTTATTCTCATTTTGAACCATGCCATATCAGCAAATGGAGTTCCTGAAAACTTTCCACCATCCATGTCATTAATGTCGACTTTACTTCGAGGAGGAAGCTTTTTCTCAGTCGTATTTTGAGTCCCTTTCAACCTCAGGGGCTCATCTTCTGCCACTATATCAGATCATGTTCTGCTGATATTCATAAGGTTTTCACTGGTCATTTTTTTTTTTTTTTTTTCAAAAGTGGACCACTGGGTCCTTCTTCCTAGGCTGTCTTAGTCTGGAAGCACTGCTGAGACCTGTCTACCATGGATGACTTGCTGGTATCTGAACACCAGTGAAATATACCTTCCAGCATCACAACAAGCAAGCCACCACAGTATGACCAACTGACAGATGAGTCTGTCCCTAACAACTTATGATATGCAGATGTCACAACCTTGCTTACTGAAAGTTAAGATAACTTGAAACACTTATTGATCCAGACTAAAGTTTAGAGCCTTCAGTATGGATCACACCCCAACATAAAGAAAAAAATCCTCACAACTGGACCAATAAACAACAATGTGATAAATAGAGAAAATATTGAATTTGCCAAGATTTCATTTTACTTGGGTCCACAATCAGCATCCACGGAAGCAGCAGCCAAGAAATCCGACGACATATCACATTGTGCAAATTTGCTGCAAAAAAACCTCTGGAAAGTGTTAAAAAGCAAAGATGTCACTTTTAGGACTAAGGTGCACCTGATCCAAGCCATGGTATTTTCAGGCACCTCAAATGTGTGTAAAAGCTG